GATCAGGAACTCATTAATATTTTACACAACGGAATATAAGAATTGACTGATTTATTTAATGAACTGACCATAAAAAACCACTTACGCATTTTTAAAAGATCAAAGTTTTAATTTTATTTAATTACTATTTTATAATTATTCAACATTTTTTTTTTTATTGTTAACTTAACAATTAATATCTATATTTATTTAATAATAATAGTAAAAAAGTTTAATAGTTTATAAAATTATGTATAGATAGTCAAAAATAAAAAAATATTTAAATTGTAGCTATACTAAAACATAAATTTCCATTATTGGAAATTAATGTTTTAGTATATCTACAATGAAGACCGTAAAAGAGGCGTATGGATGTTATTGAATGTAATATGAGAACAGCTAATGTGTGCGTAGATGATGTGGGAGATCGTGTCAGGTGAAAGTTGAAATAAAATTGGCCGACTCAAAGGAGCTTGAATAAAGGCCAGATAAAAAAAAAAGACTAAAAAACAAAATTAAGGAACGAACTAATTTTTTTTTTTATTTCATTTTTAACATTTATGGGTAAAGTAAAACACATTTTATAATATTTTTGAAAATACATTAAAATACATTTTTGTATATGATTTGGTTAAAAGTCAAAGTTATGTACTTAAAAGAGTCACTTAATTTTTTTGTTTTGAATTAACTAAATTATTATCAATATTTAATATTAATAAATTGTAATCTAATTTAGATGAATAATGACGAAACTTTTATGAACGATAATATAAAATTTAGTAATATTTTTTTGTATAATATAGTATAATAAGTGCCTCAACTTCGATGAATTTTAAATTGCTAAGGTTATTATTACTTTACAAGAATTTATTTGTTTTGAACAAGATTTTTTTTTTTTTTGAAATACGCATTAATCATAAAATCAATGAACTTTATTATATCTAGAATGTCAAATTAAATTTCATCAATCTCAACAAAGATTTTAGTAGTTAAAACTATGCTGCCTAAATTTAATATAAAAATAAATAAGTCTCTTTTTTAACTATGAACAATTGTGTACACACGAAATCATAACAGATGTTATTCCACAGTATAGGATTGAAAAAAATAATTTTGAATTATTAAAAAAGTATTGAGCAAATAAAAAAATAATAAATCACAAATAATAATACAATTCTTATAACATAAATTATAACTAAAAATGTTTTGACGCTTTCATATCATCTATTTCAGTATTTTTAAATAGATTTTATGATTTTTAATTACTATATAATAAGATATCTAAGACCGAGTTAACACAGTTTAAACAACTTTCAAACTACGGTACTAGACAAAAGTTTGAGAAACATACTATCAAAATGAAATTCTTTTTACTATTTTTGACTTTCTTAATTTTTGTTTCCGTAACTTATTCATCAAACAACACTACAAACATGCCTTCAAGTCAAAAGTGAGTAAACCTAGTTATTATAATATTTTAATGTTGTATTATAAAATTGATGTATAAAACATATTATTATTATATTATTATCCTTTTATACAAAAAGAGGAAGCAATACGCAAGAACCATCGAATAAAGAACCACCGAAGCAAGCAACAGAAAAAAAATCATCTTCTGGTAAATAAAATTCAAATTTGTGTATAATAAACTATAATCTAATACCCAAAAAAAATTAGATCCAAGTTATATGATGGTACATATCATGATCGGATCCAGCTTGGGTTACCTCACGTTAACGCAAGCTGGTCATTCAATATATTTATATATATATTTATATTATTATATGATATATAATAATATATTTTTTTTTAAGCCAACTTAAAAAATTACTATTTAGTATTTTGAAATTATAATTCATAAATCCTAAGGAAATATCGTATAATTTTTGACAAAAAGTACTCGTATCGTATAATTGTATTAAAAAAATTGTGTTATGCAAAAATTGTTAATCATATTCTTAAATTAACATTTACAATATTTTTATGTTTACGTATAATTTTATTTCAATAAACATTTATAGTCATTGTTTTGAAATCAGATTCGAGTTAAAAAATACTGATTTTTATTTCAGTTTTTATAACAAAATAATAGTTCATTTTTACTAATTTTAATAGTTATACGAATATATATTGATAAATAGTAATAAAAATATTATATTTGAGTACAATTTTTCAAAACTATGTCAAAATTATACTATTTGTGTGTAAGATTACAATGAATATTAAACAAAAAATTAATAATTTCAATTGACTTTCAGAGAAAAAAGGCAAATATAATATTGGTTGGGATAATGATGCTATTAGACAAATACCAACTTCTCATTATTATAGTTAATCATGTTATATTGTTAAAATTAGTTTTTTGGATATTTAAATAAAAATTTTCATTTTATTTAAAAATGTTTGTATATTTAATTCAATTATTGACATTGTATTTAACATTGTTAATTACATGAAAACTAAATATCGTCATAAAATTTAATTAATTAGTGTATTAATGTGTTTTTTTTAGAAATTTACGTTTTCAATAATTTTAATTTAGAATATTTAGTTTCAAAAAATAATAACGACCAAAATAGTTATTAAATACGTTTAACATCGATTTAAAAAAGTATTTTCATTAGTACAACGTGTTGCTTGAGATATTTGGAAGGTATATAAAAGGGTTAACTGGTAAACCGATTTGCCAAGAAACCAATAATTGTCAATAACTGTATTGCATTAATAAATAGCCCGGTAGTGAATACCAGTGTGCAATTTAACACTGTAACAGTTTAATAGTTAATACCTAAGTATACTCAAAAAATCAAAACTTTTAATTATTATATCAAATAAAAAAACAAATTTTTATAAAAACGGTAGCGCAATGGAGTCCCAGCACAGTGTGGATGTGGGACACAGTTGGGACAAATATAAATATTATTTGACAGTGATTAAAATCACTATCATAAGAAACGCTTCGATGTAAATATGTAGATAGTGTTTAATTTTAATAAATTAGTGGATTATACTAAAAGTAAAATGAATTCCTATTTCCTTTATTATTCCTGATTATTAGTTCTTTAATTTAAAAGTATAAAATATGAATAAATATTTATTTTGACAATTGACTATAATATGAGTTGATATTTAATAATTTAGTATTGTAATTTATTCGGAGAATTTATAAAAAATTATAAAGCAGTTATTATTTTTACGGCAAACGTGTATAAAAATTATATGGATTGATACAAAGTTTTTCAGAAAATAATTTGTTGTTAATTATGAATAAATAGTTTACAAGGAATTTTCATAAGAGTCAAAAATATACTTTACTTGAGTAGTTTTTCGCGCATATTTCAAATCTAAAATTTGATTTTATACATCACCACTAATATTAGATATTATTACTAATTAGTTAAAATCGAGTATAAACATATAAAATAATTTAGGTTAAACTGAAATTCAACAATACAACAGCGGACGAAATCATAGGTGTAAATTAGGCACAGTATATTTTTGAATATAAGGATATAGTTTATATGGAATGGCGGAATATAGTTCTGAATATTTCAATTGTAACATCTATTTAAACACCAACAGTTACATAGAAATGATTACTAATGAAATAGAAATCATTACTCTATATGAAGTTTAATTTTATTATGAAAATGTAAATTAAAAAGTATCTCGTGAGAAGTAAATTGAAATTTTAGAGATAAAGACATGCGCAGGTCTGACCGGCGCCAGGCACTCAAGCTTTTACCATATTTTATCAACTGAGGTCATATGTTGTCTAACAAAACGTTATTTCTCTGTTGTAATTTGTAATTATTGAGACATTATATTGAGGCTATGAAACAAAATTTCCTCAAATGTTATAATTTTAAATTAGAGAAAAATAATACTTCTATTCTTTAAAAAAAATTATAGCTCTTATACAATACATAAACGCCAAAAGTATAAAAGCTATATATTAAATGAGTAATTCACACAGTTATAAAAATCTAATGAGTACCTTTAAATTTAATTTAAAACATAAGTAATTACAAAGTACTTTATATATGGGAAGCAAGGGACATATTTAAAAATAAAAATAATGTAATGGCTGGGATTTCGGTTCACCATAAAATAACATTATTAAAATTTGTCTAAACTGTCAAAATGACGCCAAAATCGAAAACACGAGACCATCACAAATGAGTATAATAAACGAGTTTTTTTCGATATAACGAATGTGAAATATGTTTTGCAATAATTTGCAAATGTTTTACTTTGTAATCATTTTCTGACGTTATTGAATTTTAAGCTTAAAATAAATCTCGATAGAAAATTCAAAATCTTCCAAAGATGAAGGATGAAGTCCAAGATGAAAAGAGGTGTCTCTCGGATGTGAGACACCATTGTGTTTATCAAATAATCTGTTGGTTTATACCATATAGGATATTCGGCTGTTATTATTAATTAACAAAAATGTATAGATATATTTTCACTTTTTTTTTTACCGAATTTTATTATGTAGAAACTCATTCAACTGCTTCGGTGGGTTTTTAAAAATTATAAAGTTATTTTAAAATACATGATTATTAGAACTTAATATTTTAACAATTTTTTTTTAATATTAAAATAATTATATGTAAAAATTTCAATATTGCTACTTAGTGTCCAAAACTCCTATGTGTAAAAAATGAAAGATGATGATTAAATAGCATATGTTTTCACATAGAAGGCTTTTCACGCCATACACAGAGATATGAGAAATCATAAAAAAGTTAAATAGGTTGTGTCTTTACCAAAATTCACTGTCCTGAAAATAGAGTTGAATTACTACGTGAATAGAATTACTGCTAACTGGTAATACCTTCTAATACTACAATAGTATGATATAAAAATATATTTTTACTTATTTTTTTCCAGTAGAGTTAAGTATAGATTTTGTAAGTAGTGTAAGAAAAATATAATTTGATTTTATTATCACGGCTATCATTTATATGAGACAAAAAAAAAATTAGCGATAACTAAACAATACTTAGAAGTAATTTTTATTCAATTTGAAAGACACAAATAATTTTTGTAGAGTTGGTTATCCAATCCAAATATAAAATCTATTCATTTCTATTTAGCATTTCAACGGAGAACCACTGGCTGTACTAAAAAAGTGATCATTTTTTAATAATCAAGTTTTGGTAAAGTAAATTAAAATATTTAATCATTAATATATTTGTTATTTGTTTATTCATAAATGAAATTGTATTATTGTTTAATATTATAAACAATATAGATTTATAAATATCATTAAACAGTATAATTGAGAAAGATTCATACACTTCTAAACATTTTTTTCTCAGATATATTATAAACTTGAATTAAATTAAATAAATTTCTAATTTCAAAAATACAAAAGATAATAATTTGATAAAAAGTTTTTCTTATTTAAATAATCATTTTTATTTTATAATTTTTTTTTTTTTAAACTCTTCTATTATAATTGATTTTATATATTTTTTGCACTCAAACATAATTTACAAAAGTTTCTTAACTCTGAAAATAAAATATAAGGTTTTTATTTAGAATTTACCAAGATCATTCAAAATACTCTTCATCATTATTATAAGTTAAACTATTAAAGAAATAAGAATTTTAGTTTAATATATGGAATCTAAAAAAATAGCTGAAAAGTAATATTCCAATAAAATGCATGATTTATGTTAAATAAATGTGCTTGTGATTAAATAATTTTTGATTTCATATAAGAATCAATTTTAACACAATAACATTTTTAATCAACTATTTTTTTTTATAATATATTTTATATTTGATTTAAATATTTACAAATATTTATGCATTATATAAAATAAGTAGTTTTTTTACATTCTTAAATTAATTACAAGATTATTTTGATAAAGAGACCTAGACCCTCATTTAACTTCAATATCCAAAAATGCGCACGATTTTGTGAGATAACGTTTAGCTTTAATTTTAGTGATTTTAATTAGTTAACTAGAAACGTAATGAGTTAAAAAATATGTTTACTCGACCAGTTGATTTTGACTATAAACTAAAACAATTTGTATTGTATCAATATTTAATTCATGAATAATTATCCCAACATATTTTTTGATTAGAAATATTTGATAAGTCTCTAATTTGATAAATATATTTAAATTTTATATGCTTTAAATAAAGACCACTTGGACAATAATGATACAAATGTATTTAGGGTCTATTTTACATACTATACATAATAAATAACATATTTTAAACATAACAATAAATATATGAAAAATGAATTATTATAAGTATCAAATATGATTTCAATTATTAAATTATTTTTATTTTTTATTTGAGGCGATCATTTATCATAGAATAATTTTAACTATTCCATAATTTTTTTGTCGGTTTTTTAAGCCAATAAAGGAACACTTCATTTATTTTTCATTCACGTATTATACATTATTTCAATTTCTCGTTTTTATTAAATATATACGGCAATTACATAGTCAATCAACATTATTAAAAAATTTTATGAACCTTTTTATGACAGATTGAAATCCAAAAGATTGTCACGATGTCTAAAAACATTGGATTTTTTTATTAACAACGCACTTGTTTGTAAACTAATAAATCTTAGAAAAATTGTATAAATTATCGCAAACATATGATCAATATGTGGTCTTACATCCGTAATTATTATTTTTATTATTAAATTTCATTAAAATAATATTTTTTGAGAAGTTCGGACTTTATTTATTTTTACACCAATAGTATATAAATTTTAGATAAGCTTAAGTTAATTTACGGCGCTAAATTAAATTAATAGATAGAAAATATTTAATTTTTTTGGTGAATGTTACGGATTTTAAAGGTTTTCTAACATAATATTCTAAAAGTTCTTTAAAAGACCTTGAAAATGAGGCTCTCAAAAGCTAGGTAAATTAACTCCCCTTTTTTCAAATCTTTATAATTAAATAATATTAACTTTTTTAAGCCAACTAAAATATTATTAACAATTTTATTAGTTTGTTATTATTATCATTTTTAATAATAGTAGTTGTATTAAAAATGTTAATACTTTTGAAAGAAAGTGATTTGAAAAAAAGTGAAGTTAATTGACTTGGCTTTTGAGCGCTTCATTTTCAAGGTCTTCTAAAGGACTTTTAACTTATTATGTAAGAATATCTTTAAAAAAATAGCCGTAAAATTCACAAAAAAATGAAATATTGTTTAACCTATTCATTAATTAAGCACTGCAAATTAACCTAAGCTTATCTAAAATTTGTAAACTATTGGTGTGGAAATAAATGAAGTTATCTAAAATATTTTACTGGTATAAATTGATTCAAGCAAAATTTTCTTTTTTAATTACGTAATTATAATCAGTTAATGAATTTGGTAATATTATAAAGGAATATTTTGCAGTTACATCAAAAGCTTTGTAAGAACAACTCTTCGAACAATTAAGTTTTATAATTTACTACCAGTCTTTTCATTTTCAACATGTCTTCAGGTAAATAAATTAGATTAAATTTGTTTTATAAATCAACTTAATGTTTCTTTGTAAAAAATTAATAATAAAATTTCAGATAATAAATTTCCCGAAAACTTTTTATTTGGCGCTTCTTCTAGTGCATATCAAATCGAAGGTGCATGGAATGAAGACGGTAATTTGATTATTTAATATATTTTTTAGTATATTTATAACACAGGGTTTAAAAAATGAAAAATTCAACCATTTTGATTTTTTTTTTAGGAAAAAGCAAAAGCATTTGGGACTACATTTACCATAATGAACTCAGCGATTTTAAGAATAATAAGCATAAGTATTTTGCTATTCGTCCTAGATCTCAAATGCAACATCATAATTTGATTAAAAATCCAGACGTTAAATTAGTCGGTTTTCACAATCATCATTTAATTTTTGATGATATGACCGTCGATAAACATTTTACTTCAGGAGTAGAAGATGACGGTTTAACATCAGGCGATGTTACATGTGATTCTTACCATAAATTTGAGGAAGACATTAAACTATTAAAAGATCTGGGTGTATGTTCAAATGTTATGTGATGTAATAAAATTTCATTAATTTTATATAAAATTTATAGGCTCAAGTTTATCGTTTTTCGATAAGTTGGACTAGAGTTTTACCGAAAGGTCATGATTTTGTCACTAATCCAGCTGGTATTGAGTATTACCATAAAGTAATAGATTTGCTACTTGAGAATGATATTACACCAGTGGTATGTATAATTAATTTATAATTATTTTTTTTTAGTTAGAAAGTATTACTTTTAACATTTTAGTGTTTTTTTTTAGTATTTTGTTTTTATTTAAAAATGTATACATCATACACATTTACATGTATGGTATTATTATTCTAATTAAAAAAAAATATTACACAATTTTCTTTATTAATAAAATAATTATAATATATAAATAATTTATAACATTATAATATTTAGTAATTAACTACAATTAATTGTATGAAATAATTTTTTAGGTTACTATTTATCATTGGGATCTTCCACAATCAATTCAAAAACTTGGTGGATGGTCAAATAATAATATTTTGAGATATTTTGTAAACTATGCAAATTTCTTATTTAAGACATATGGAGATAAAGTAAATTTATTTTAAGTAATTTTTAGCTTCGATGCGAATCTGAGAAGGTATTAATTTTACTATGTTTTTTTTTAATATTATTTATTTAATTAATTTTTTTTTTTGTGTCTTACTACTTTTTCTCAGCTCTCACCGAACCGTTTTCTTTCAACGATACGTTAAAAGATCACAAATCGTATATAGTCAAAGACATTACCCTCAAAAATTGAAAAAAATTCCCATGTTCCCCGTAAATGGGGGAAATATCCAAAAAAATCACAATTTTAAAAATTGCTAATTTTCTACATTTTTTCAATTTTTTTACTTAAAACTGCTATAACATTCTCAAAAATGATCAAATCAATATTATTATTTTTTAAATAGATACGTGGGGTACTTGCTTATCATTTTGTATAATTTTTTTATAAATTTTTTCCTTTATCTGCCCACAAGGGGGAATCAAAATGACAATTTTTGACAAAAAATTAACTTTATTAACTTAACTTTTGAAAATATTCCGGTTATACTGAAACTTTTATATACATCTTAAATTAAAGCTAATGTAATATACTTTAAAATAGAAAAAAAATTCGGACTTTATTTTGTCTTCATGGTGAAAATGACTACAGTGTTCTTTTTTTAAATTATTTAAAATTCTCGATTTTACATTTTACATTTTTAACTTTATAATACTATAACATTTTTAAAAATGTATGGATCATTGCAATTATTATGATAACTACTATTAATATACTTATTTTATGCGACATACTTCTTGTTAAAATCGGGCCTTTTCCCTTGATACAAGGGGGATTCAAAACTTAAAAATGCATATAGAGAGTAGAACTTTTTTAACTTAATTTTTGAAAGTGTTATGGAAAATTTTGACACTTTTATATATATCTTAAATTAAAGCTTCTGTAATATTCTTTATTATGGAAAACAAAAATGTCGGACTTGTTTTGTTGTTATAGTGAAAACTGACATCAATGTTAATAAAAAAATATGATTTTTGTAAAAAATTATAATGCTAAATTGTTAAATATCAATTTCATACTACATTTAATTGCTATAATAAATATTTATTCATATATTACACTTATAAATCATAAAACTTGTAATCGGTAAATAAATTAGGAAATAGGAAATCATGTTGCTTTTGGAATAATCCACCAATTTTTTAAAATTAAATACATTCTACAGATTTACATCGAAGCGTTTTTTATGATAGTGACTTTAATCACTGTTAAATAGCATTTATATTTGTCCCAACTGTGTCCCACGTCCACACTGTGGTGGAACTTAATCACTGTCAGATTAAATCTATACTGGACCTAACTATGCCGCGACCCCACTGTGCTGGGTTTTTTTTTGTTAAATATATAATTATGTATTTAAAGTGACCAACCTGAAAAATACTTCTTTTTTTGTATTTAAAATAATGATAATTAAAATTAAGTGTACACCGTCAATATTGTCAGAAATACTCTTTAAAAAGTAATCTCATTTTATATATAGAAGCTTGAATTATGTAGCTAATATACTTGTATTTTACACTACAACTAATAATTTTACTGGTCTATTAGGTTAAATATTGGACAACAATAAACGAACCAAAAATGGTATCCGAAGGCTATGGTGGTCTATATAGTTTTGCTCCGCGTATGGGTAAAAATTATAGTGGATTAGGAGACTATATGGCTATTCATAATCTTCTATTAGCTCATGCAAAAGCTTACAGACTGTATGAAAAAAACTACAAACCTACACAACAAGGTACAATTTTTATTATTATTTTTTATGTATTGTAAAATAAATAAAAAAATAGTTTTTTTAATAAATCATAATTACTTTTAATATAACTGTAAGTAAATATATAATTAGAACATAAAATGGTTAAAGTAACGCAGGTGGGAATGGCTTCATATTGATATCTTAGGGCTGAATTGTGTTACTAGTATTATTGATTTTTAATACAATTAAGTGACTTAAATTTGATCTTTCCCAAATATATGTATAATATTGCACAAAAATTAGACAATTTTATTTAATTTTATTACGCTTACGTAAATATCGTTTAAAATAATGCTGGTTACTTAATCTATAAGATGTTTTTCTTTTATTATCTTAATATTTTTATAAAAACTTAATCAATTTATTAGTATGATATTGGTATCGGTTATCACACAATCACGTACTAGATCTAATTTTTTTTAGGGTCAAATTTGTATTTCCTTAGATACATTATGGGCTTTTCCATATGACCCAAACAACGAAGATGATAAAAAATCTGCCGAAATATTTTATGAATATAATGTAATAATTTAAAATTATAAACACAACTAACATTTTGTAATTTTGTAAATATTTATTTATTTTAATATTTTTTAGGTTGGATTATTTATTGAGCCGCTAGTTACTGGTAAATTTCCAGACGCTTATTTGAACTCGGTTATAGATACCAACAATCAGAGGGGAATTAATGTTTGGCGAATGATACAATTCACTGAAGAAGAAAAAAAATTATTGATAGGTATATTTTATGATAATGTGATCATTATGGTATTACATGTTTATACTGCTACTTTCAATAAACCTAAATTATATTTATATAACAGCAATTTTTTTTGAACTATTTTTAAAAATTGTACAAATTGAAATTACTATTTCATAATTTTAGGCCGTCAATTCTATTTAAATATAACAAATTTTATAATATTTTTGTTTTTAGGGTCTTATGATTTTTTATCAGTCAATTATTATTTTTCGATGTCTGTTTCTGCATTACCTGCAGATCAAATCATTGATCCTACTATTGATCTTAAAACAGTTGATCAAAGAACTGTTATACGTGCTTTAGCGGACGAACAAAATGTAAATTTCTTAATTAAACATATATTTATTAAGTTTGAATTATTGTTACCCTTTTTTTTTTGTTGATTCAGACTATAATGGGCTATAGAAATATAATGAATTGGCTAAATAAAAAAATGGGGCAAATTTCACATATCAGAAAACCGAAATTTTTCATATCTGAAAACGGATTAGCTGATGATGTTAATGATCCGACATACAAAGAAAAATTAAATTATCACTATGTAAGTATATAAAATGTAGATCATTTATAACACAAAGTAATTAATTTCATATATGGAGTGTTCGGTAAGTAAGGAAACAAATTTCTATTGTTCTAATTGTTTGTAATAATTGACCTGTTTCCTTCAATTCCTGTGTATAATAACTATATCCACACATTGGTGCAATGTAACATTTTATTAATGTATTTTTACTAAACTAATAATGGTAAATTACTTCTATACACATAGATCTTTTAACTGAACATTTGTATTTAATATTGAAATATTTACAACTTTATAACGATTTATTAATTTTTTTAGAATATAATAAAAGAAACCAAAAATTTGATAGACAGTGGTATTGACATTTTTGGATATTGCGCTTGGTCATTGATGGATTCCTATGAATGGGTTGAAAAAAGGTAAGTAGATTAAAATAAAAAATATACTCTTGTTAATTTGTACAACCCAATTTTATGTTTGTAATATACTTGATAAAAAATTATATATTTATTATTAATGTATTACCTTAAAAATTTCAGTTAGTTAGCTTCATAATATAATTAGTATCTTAATATTTTCAGCCCAAAGTTTGGAATTTATAAAGTCGACTTTAAAGATCCTAACAGACCTCGTACAGCAAAACCACAAGTTTTTGAATTTTTCCACGATTTATACAAAAATAAGGCGTTGAAAGATACTAAACCAAACTAAACACTTGTTTCTTATTGAATTTTACAAAAACATATTTTCATTTTACTATAACTCTTATTTTTTTTCTTTCAAATGTTTTATTTTATACTTATATAAACCATTATTTTATAATAAAAAATATATCATTATTGAGTGTTGGCATATTTTATTTGTCACTTATATGTTAATTATACAATATACTTATTAAACAAAAAATTGAATTTTTTTATTAACTTTTATTATTTTTATACAATAGAAAACTAATAACATTGATTGTTTGTATAGTTAAAATCAATCTAACTTATTTTTGTCATTTAAATGCAAATTTGAAATTATTGTTGGTATGTGTAAAAAAAGGACGTTATGCCATTTTGAAAAAAATTATGTTTCTATATCATCAGTAAGGCGTATTTATAATTCGATATGAAATTTAGACGACGAATCTGAATTATTAGATTGCTTGATAAATTGACGTAAATAAAGTATAAATCAGATTTCTAAACATATTCATCAAATCATTTGTAAACTTTTTACATAGATAATTAATAGTTAATTATACAATTTTCATACGTAAAATCTAAACATACCAACGTATTTATAAAAAATATATGAGATTGTTTTGTATGATTATTTTAGTAATTTCAAAATAAAACAATACTGGAAATTTATATAATAAAATCAGTATTTTGTTACGAATTTTCGAGATTTTTTATATGGTATTTACAAAAATTTGTTCACATTATATTAACTCAAACTGCGCTAAGTTAATATTTATTAATTCTTTCTAAAATTATCTTTTTGTAGGTTAAAGTTTTAAAACAATCTGTCAAAATAAAAAATTATACTTATGAGTCCCGGAGTGCCACAGAGTTCGTACTAAGTACCATTGTAATTTAATTTATTCATACATAATGATATCATTTTTAATTTCAATATACACAGTGGTGGCTCGTGGATTGGATGACGGAACGATCGCACCCCTACTAAAATTAATATAAAAAGAAAATTAATTTAGGAATAGGAGCACACGCGAGCAGTGTTTGGACGACCGACAGTGTCGTCCAAACATAATTTTGAAAAGTATATTATAAACGAGGCGCCCAATTGTGTGTGGGCGGGTGTGGTTAAGCTGCAATATTATGTACAGGTTTAATTTTCACAAGTTGTTGATATGTTGTAAATACATGAATTAACATTGTTTTTAAAGGTTACAATTTATCACTGGGATCTACCACAATCACTTCAACTTCTAGGTGGCTGGACAAATTCTAATATCATAAGATATTTTGTAAACTATGCAAATTTTGTATTTAAGACCTACGGAGATAAAGTAATTTTTTTATTAGATTAAATATAAATCTAGGTATTTCTAGAGACTAAGCTTAAAAATACAGATTTTCTTTTATATTTTAAATAATAATTTTTTAAATATCACGTACATTGACAAAATTGTTCGTAAATCTCTTTATGGAATTAAGATATGAACTGTAATTTAAAATGTAATATCAACTATTCACAAGTTGTTGATACAAGTTGTAAATAAAAACACTAAGTGTTATAACTGTACCAACAGTAGGGAACAATGGTAACACATTTTTTTTTTAATTACTTATAGATTATTTAATTGATTAAACCTTTTTGATAAATCAAATAGTAAAAATTTTGCTCATTAATGATAATATTATAACTAATTATTCTAATCATCACAGTTTTCAAGCGTATAGAGAGCTGTCAAATTTTGTAAGGTACAAGCTTTGTATGACCATAATTTAAAATTTGGTATTGAGTCTATGGTTCTTCGTTCTTACTTATAGATTACAATTCAGCACATATATATTATACATGAATCATCCTCTTCATCATCACTTTTATGAACTCAAGTCTTATTTTTGTATTTTATTTCTAGCTTTTGTATTTGTTTTCTTTTAATATTTTTTTATTTGTTGTTAGAATTTTTCCCTAGTTCAATTTTTCGGGTACATTATTTAGTATTGTAGATTTCCCTTTCTTTCAGCCACGTTATGTCATTTTTTAAGTAGTTGTGCTTGGGATAAGGTCTAACCATTTCAGAAGAAATCTTCCTAAATGGTTGCTATTCTACATTTTACATTATCATAATCACCTTTTGTTATCTAGTAAAAAAAACAAGATATCGTCCGATTTATAAGGAAATGCCATTTATTTCACAGCATTACAAATTATTATATTTTTCTCAAATTTTTATACTTGCCATGGAAATAAATATTGACCGAATACAATCGTATCCTGTTACAATTATACTCAGTCACCCTGCCCAGGGTTGGGGTACAAAGAGACAGTTACTCTTCCGTTAACTTTTTGCTTAATAAATTTTCATAATCATATTTTACTATAAAATTAAAAAAAAAATTTACTTTAATTAAACTTTAAAATGATATATCAATTAATGAAAATTATTGCTGCTTAGTCTTAGATTCCATTCAAAAATATTTTACAAAATAAAACAGATATACTATACAAATACAGTATTAATTTCATAGTAAAAAAAAACCGCATAATATGTGAACGTTCCATAAAACATTATTTTTTCTTATATAATTATTAATAAAACAAAAAATAATTATTTCAATAAAATTTAAGTTATAGTGTATTTGAATAATTAATAGTTCTACATTACAATAGTTAACTTAAACAAAATATGTATTTTAAGGAAAAAAACTCATAAAACAATAAACAATTTTATTCATAACAACCTAGTAATTTATTTATAATCATCAAAATTTATTTTTAATAATTGTACTGATAGTGTAGTTAACTAAAGAATTATCTCAAATATAAATGAAAATATTTAAGTTTTTAAATAAATAACAATAAACTACTTACTTAACTACTGAATCAGTCAATTAGTCTTATCAATTATTATTTAATAAAAATATTGATGTTCTTATCATTTTCGGCTATCTTGGTGAATTTTCCAATATTTATTATTTATTTTATTTTTTAATAAATACCAAAGTGATCTTATTACTAGATACATCATAAAAAAATTATTCTATGAAATATACTCTAAACGTATTTAACCTAATTTCTTAAATTTTTAAGATTTAAAAATTATTTTTAATCAATTATAAAATAATATAATTTATATTATTATTGCCTTTCTAAAGTGTAAAAAATACTGCGAAATAATCATAATATCAAAATATATTTATAATAAACACAAATTTATTTTTAAGAATGTCTTTAATTAATCAGTCATATTTTGTATACAATTATTCTGTAAAAAACATTGTAAATTTTGATATTAAAGTAAAATTCACAATAAAAAAACTTTTGTAAAAATTGTTGGTACAAATTAATTTAAAAAAAATGTCTTTGTATATTGGTCATGTATTGTTTACATTATTAAACAAAAAAAAATCTTGCATAATATTTAAAAGTAAAAAAGCTAGCCAAATTTGCTATTGTTAAAATTGTAGAATTTTCTCATTTTTTTCTTAAGGAATATCTGGTAAAGTCATATTGTGGAAGACGTGTTGAAAATATTTGACACAAGGTTTTTTTGTTCGAGGTCGTTTAGGATTGGTGAAATCCACATGATACATTCCAAACTTAGTAGTACTAAAAAAATAAAATAATAAATAATAATTGCCACTAAAATAAAATTTAAAAATTACTTTAAATAATAATTTAAATATTCTAATTATAAATATCGATTTTATAATAAAACAAAAAAACCATAAAATCTTTACTTTAATAAAATATTAATGATAGTTTTTAAGCTTACCTAGGACTAACCCATTCAAAAGAATCCATTAGTGACCAAACGCTATACCCAAAAATATCAATTCCCTCATCAATTAAATTTTTAGTTTCTTTAAGGATTTCCTAAACAATAAAAAAGTTAATTATAATTTAATAAAATGAAACACTAAAATATTAAATAATTTGTAATACAGAAATATTTTCTAGATTAATTTAAGGAAAACAATTTTTTTTTTATTTCAATTTAATTTAACATTGTATAAAAATTTTAATGAAGTACATTAATATAATCTTAGTTTAAATTATTATCTACGACACATTTTTAAACAAAAATTATTTTATTATAATTTTCAATAAATATATATATATATATATAAGTATAAATTGAAAACTAAATTAAACAAATAATAGTTTATGTTTATATTAATTGTCTAAATAGTCATCTTAATTTCGATGTAATAAAACAAATCCTCATATTATAATTACCTGATGATATTTAATTTTATGAATATTATTGTCGCTATCATCACCCAATCCATTTTCAGAAATAAAAAATCTTGGACGTTTCTTGAAAGGAATTTGTCCAAGTGTATCATTCAAATAATGCATTACATTTCTAAATCCCAATACAGTCTAAAAAATATTGTTAACTTAAAACAAGTTATTAAAAATAATAATTATTATATCTCACGTCGTCTAAATCTTCTTTTTCATCCCAACTAGGTGTAATAGCCCTTTGATCAATTGTTTTTAAATCATTACTGGGATCGAATATCTCTGCTTCTGTCATCGCAGTAACATTTAATGAATGATAATAGTTTACTGATATGAAATCAAAACTTCCTGAAAAAAATGTATCACAGAACATTTAGCATCCAAATGAACTGTTTAGTTATAAAAAATATAGATGTTATTGATTCAAAATTATTGCTAATTAATAAAAAAATTACTTTTTGTAAGTATAATATTTGAAAAATTATTTTATTTAATTATTATGAAGTAGGTTAACTTGAAATACCGTCTACGATATGTTTATAAACATTTTAGTCCTTGTTACGTCGTATCATAAATTTTCAAAATAAATAAATCATTGACTTTTTTATAGCAATGATATGGTTATTAAAAATGACATTATTTTGGTACAAGAAAATGAAAAATAAAATATGTACGTATTTTTAACATAAAATAGAAATACTAAAATTGATCTGAGAGTTAAGTATTTTTAGCCCATCTCCTAAATAGATTAAAATATAGTTAAAAATAAAAAGTAATGATCTATTGGCTAATGAAGGTGAATACCTATGTTGGTCACACTTATCTTAATATTTTATTATCATTTTTATAATAAAATGTGGTATGTAGTAAAAATAAACAATCAATTTACCAATTATTCGATCTTTTTCTTCTTGAGTAAACTGAATAATGCGCCAAACATTGATTCCTTTCTTTTTATTCGTATCTTTAATTGATTCAAAATACGCTTTTGGGATCTCACCAGTTGCTAAAGGTTCAACGAATAGTCCAACCTTGTTAAATAATATATAAATAAAGTTAGACAAATAATAAATCCAAAAAGCTTAATTCTATAATTACATAAGCATCTAATAATAGTTTAGCTGAATTTTGATCTTCTTCGCTACTTTCATTATTTGGGAATCCCCATAATGTATCTAAGCAAATGCAAATTGCACCTAAAATCAAAAAATTGTTAACATCAACTCAAATTCATAAAATAACAATTTTTTGATCATAAATTGAGAAAAGATTTATTTGAATCAAACATTTCACGAGCCAAGCGACTCATGCCATCTTTATCAGACGTCGCCCTACTATGAGGATTTGACTGACCAATACTACCGTGTGCAATACGCCACGGTACAAAATCCAGCAAGTGTCGTACGGCCGACGACGACCTGCTGCAAATGATACGTTGAGTCTTCTTCTCGTTGTCAAAGTGACATCGTCGAGGATGTAATTGCAATATATTTTATTAAATACAAATAATGTATATTTTTTTATAATTTGTTTTGACCTAATAAAATTATTTTCAATATAATCAAGTTTAAAAATAAATTTTAAGAATTTTTTTTTTTTTTACTGTATAACTGCAGGATATAAGCTAATAAAATAGATAATATGATTTTCGACTCATTTTAAAAAGGGATATATGAAGTTTTTTTTTGTTTGTTAAATACTTTTCCTTCGGTATAAATTAAAACTAAATTTAGTTGAAAGTATTAAAAATGTCTTACCATTTTGTTGTGTTTTATAATTATTTTCATACAGTCTATAGGCAGTAGCATGAGCTAGTAGCAGATTATGAATAACCATGTAATCTCCTATACCACTGTAAGCTTCACCTAAATGTGGAGCATGTGGAAATTTCCCTCCATAACCCTCAGATACCATCCTGGGTTCATTGATTGTTGTCCAATATTTAACCTATTATAAAATAACAAGTGTAAATCATAAATTTTAATCTAATATATATTAGATTTTTTTTTCATAGATGTGAAAATATTTTAAATAATACAATAATAAACTTTAAAATGTATTTATGAGTTCTTTTATCAGTTAAAAAGAAAACATAAAATATTTATTATAAATAGCTAAATGGACTGTAAAGTTTTATGATGCCTACAAACATGAAGAACAATTTGGTATAATCATTTTTCTCAAATGGTAATTTTTTATTTATTAAGAATTGATCACTTATGTCTAATTAAAATTAAAATATATTTAACATATTATTTAAAACTAAAAATTATAAAAAATATTTAACTCAAAAAACCTTACAAATTACTATTATATCGCGAATACTTATTTTGGGACTAGTGTTACCATAATCATCGCAAAACACATACTATTAACTATAGTATACAAACTTCATACTTATTAGCTATTTTTTTAATTTAATAAAATATCCAAAGTGGACCAATTCAGTTGGCCAGTTACCTTATTTAAACCAACCGTATCTTCTAAAATAATATTAGGTAATATGTACATGTCCAAGGACCCCATAACTACAATATATTAAATTCCTTCCTTATTTCAGAAATAATTAGTATAAAAAAAAACTAATGAGTTTTACTTTTTAAAAACTTGAAAAAACTAACAGTTTTCACTTAATTTAAAAAAAATCGGGTGATTATAACGTTATAACTTAGATTCACACAAATGTGACGCAATTTTGAACGAGCTATGAAAGTGATCCAAGTTAAGCAACTCTAATATTATTTTATTGAAAATTATTTGTTGATATTACATTTTAAATTACAGTTCATATCTTAATTCCATAAAGAGATTTACGAACAATTTTGTCAATGTACATAATATTTTAAAAATTATTATTTAAAATATAAAAGAAAATCTGTATTTTTAAGCTTAGTCTCTAAAAATACCTAGACTTATATTTAATCTAATAAAAAATAAATAAAAAATTTACTTTATCTCCGTAGGTCTTAAATACAAAATTTGCATAGTTTACAAAATATCTTATGATATTAGAATTTGTCCAGCCACCTAGAAGTTGAAGTGATTGTGGTAGATCCCAGTGATAAATTGTAACCTTTAAAAACAATGATAAAACAATGTTAATTCAAGTATATATAAAAAAAAGTTTACTATAATGTTAAATATTTTTATTATTATTGACGTTATCTATATTTCAATTTTTATAAAATTAAAATAAAATAATTATTGTCAAATTTTAAATTTTCTATCAATTTATTATTATGTTGTTTTTTATTAAAATACTATTTATATTATTTTAATCCACCAAATAATTTTTCAATTTGTTAAAAACCAAATTGTCGAAATTATTTGTTATTTAAATTTAAATACTATATAGATTTTAAATTAAGAAACTGTAGTCCGATTGTACTCATATTGCTAATGAATTCTATATATTTATTTTACAAATAAATAAATAGTAATATTTAGTTTTCACCGACTTTTTTTATTATTATCAATTATTAGTAAAAGAAAAAAACATTGTTTATGATTATTTGAAAGTTTTTCAAATATACATACCAATGGTTCGATATTGTTAGCGAGTAGTAAATCTATCAATTTATGGTAATAGTTAATACCCTCTGGGTTCAATTCATGATCGTGTCCTTGTGGTAAAATTCTTGGCCAACTCAATGAAAAACGATATACTTTTACCTGTAATTTTTTTTTGAAGTTAATACTAAAATTTAGTAAATTTATTTTATAATACTTTATAAAAATTAAACATACTCCTAGTTCTTTGAGTAATTTTATGTCTTCCTCATATTTATGATACGAATCGCATGCAATGTCTCCATTTAATAATACGTTGTCATCCTTAGCATGACTCGGTAAGAAAGTAATTGGATGAGGGGACAAATTTTTAAAAAATAAATTGTTTTTGTGCATACCAATAAACTTAATAGTTTTGCTTTTAAAAAACCGGATTGATTGCCTTAAATCTTTTTTTGAAATAGAAAATTCTGATCCATTTGTCAATTTATTGTTACCATGATATAATTCATCCCATATACTCATAGTTTTTCCTAAAATAAGAAATAAATTAGTTGTATTAAACAGCACATAAAACGAATATAATTTAGAAGTTTTTTATAATTCTTCCCTTTTGAAGCGATTTAATCTCTATCAGTACAATTTTATATTATGCATAGATACACAAATAAATAATATTAAAGGAATACTAATTATTATACTTATAAATATGTAAAATTATAGTACGGATAAGCTTTACACTTCCCATTAAGGAGTACCTAAATTATTTTTTTGTGATAATTTTTTTAACAATTAGTTATAATTATGTATAATTTATGGTTTATTATTTTATACTTAAATCATTATTTGTTTTATTGATTTATGATTAAATCAATAAGCGTTTAAAATATATTTACTCTAAAAATTTGTTAAAAAATGTTGGATTATGATTTTTCTTTTTTTTAATAGCGATGATCTTCTTCTTTGTTTTTTTAAATGTTAAAACTTCTATATTAATACAAATTTTAAGTAAAAAATAATAATGTGATGACGATTCTAAAATCTTTCAATTATTATTTAATGTATAATTTTACTTATAGCTTTATTACAATAAAAAAATTACATTAGTTTAAAAAAAACAAGAAATAAAAATTTTATATTTTTAAATAATAATTTAATAATGACATTGAAGTTATTTATAAAATAATTTAATTTTTAATTTACCGCCTTCATTCCAGCCACCTTCTATTTGATAAGCACTTGATGAAGCTCCAAATAAAAAGTTATCCGGGAACTTCACGACTGATGCAGAACATACATTGATCAATAATACGGCTAAAAAACAATGACTTAAACATTGATGAAAACGAAAATTCTTATTTGAAGACATTGTTTAGCTTAAAGCAAAAATATTACTCTAACGACTGATTTTAAGTCAAAAGTGTATTACTTTTGACTTAAAAATGGTTTGTAACGCGGCTTCTTCTCCCGTATTTATATCAATCCGATACAATAAATTGGGACTTTCTGAAAAAGATATCTTGATTATAATCATAACGAAATCCATGAGTTCAAAGGTTGGTTACTTTATCGATCATTGTATTACTAAAATATAAACCAATCAAATTTAGAATATCTGATAATTTTTTGGTCGATCTTTGTAACTACATTTTTGATACGTGGTCTTTTGTATTAAAAAATTAATACAAGAGACCACAAAATATAAAGTGTTATATCATTTATTTTTTGAAAAAAATGTGACCATATTTTATGAAATAAATATATATATTTATATAAATTCACACAAAACACAATGTTTACAAAAATAATCTGTCACTCGTATTGGCTACCCAACCTAATCCAATCTATATTTCAAAGTATTGTAGCAAAGACAAAAGTGCATAAACATTTTTATGTTTACTGAGGGGGGGAGGGTGAATAGTGAAAAAATATTTTCCCCCAAATACTTCGACCTGAACTTTTTTCAACATGAACACTTTGAACCAAGAGTTGGAACCTTTTAAAAAGAACCTTTAAAAAGTCTTTAAGACCGTTTCTAAAAAAGAAAGTAAAGAACTCAGAACCTAACCGGGATCTCAAAAAATTTCTTTTAAAACCCCTTTAAAGCTCCTAAACCCTACAAAACCAGTTATTTTAAAGGTTCTTAAAATCAGTTATAAACTAAGTCACCATGTAAGTATATATGTCTCACGCGTTATCATGCTAAAATATTAATATCATGATAATATTTGACAGTAAAAAACATACTAACGTACGATTAATTAGATATTTTATGGTGTAATCACAGACTACATAAAAAGTAACAAGTAACCAAATATTATTTAATGATAATATTATCATATCCATAATTTAGGGATGTAATGAAAAATATTCTCCAGAGATTTTTTCGGTAATATTTTTCTGCAGATTATTAAAGGAGAATTAAGTATTAAAAAAAATATTACTAATTAATAATTAGTTAAAAAATATAAATAACGAAACAATTCTATTAAAAACATTTAATCAAACTTGAAAATTATTTCAAGTAATGAATATTTATTGAAAATTCACGTTGAAAAATAATCATATCTTACTTGGTTGATAGTCGCATAATAATAATAATTCTCTTAAACACATTTGAGCCAAAAAATGATTCTATAGTTTTTAATGTTTGACATTTCTATGGCTTCTTAATGTTTCAATTGTTGTTAAAAAACTATAAATAATGACACTACCAAAATATACAGTTGCAATCAAAAAATTCCCAGCCAAAAAAAATTTTGTATAAACACCGCAAATAGTGATCAATTTAGCCATTAAGTATAAATTTGATTACTTCTAAATATATATAGTCTATATGTCTAACATTCATTTGATCGAGTATCTGAAACTAAATAGATAAATTTGTAAATTACAAATTTTTTTTCTTTGTTGGCCAACATGGAAAATTTTCATATAACAAAGGTTTTTTCTTTGACATTATACCTATATATACATATACATCAACACAGATAAATTAATAAGAATTATATTTGATTATAATGAAAAAATAGGAACTAAAACTGTTAAAAAATAAAGATAAGACAACGAACCTATAAAATTTTCACTTTAATTCCATTATTTACTCAATTCAGTAGTTCTGATTAATTATTTATGAACTATGCTACCAATATTTTTAATATCTCAATTGTATTATCTATTTAATATTTTAATGTTAAGATAATAACATTTATACATAAAAATACAAGTTTTAAATAAAGAAATATGTCCAATGATTTAAGAAAAATTGAAATGTGAGAAGTATAAAATGTATACTTCAAAAAATTTAAACAAACTATCTAAATAAAATATAAATTTTAACTTTAAAGTCAAAAATGTTCATAAAATATTTTGGAAAAGATTATTTTTAACAATTTCAACACGAAGATTGTTTTTGAATTAATATGTAATCTATAAAATCTATTCAAATCTGAAATTATAAACTTAAATGAAATTCGTTATCAATAAAACTTCATTACAAAGGAAACAATACTAAGTGTAAAACGATTATTTTTTATTTTTTTAACATGTCCTGATGGCTGTCTGTCTTCCGCTATATTCTTTTTATTTTCTTACTATATAAGCATGATAATGTTTAAAAAACATCACAACGTTGCTAAAGTAATCATTGCAAAAANTCTGTCTGTCTTCCGCTATATAACGTTATATTCTTTTTATTTTCTTACTATATAAGCATGATAATGTTTAAAAAACATCACAACGTTGCTAAAGTAATCATTGCAAAAAAGGTTTTAATACGTATTTTTTAAATTAATTTATGAATGTTTCAAAAGTTACGTTTTATAAATGTGTTTTAAATATATTTATAAATCTTTCAATTTTTATTTTTACATTTAAATAATATGTATTTAATATTTAATAATATAATTTTACACTGCTCATATCACAATTGACAAAATGTTATCACTTACACAAATGTACACATTATAGATTTTCAATCGTTTGTTGTACTATAAATATGACGCATATACACGTACATTGTACGTGTATTTCTGGTGTCTAGTAACTGCAACTACAAATTTTTCGTTTTGCTGATTTTATATACTATTTCTGTTATTCTTACGTTATAATTCCTGGTTTTATTCTTCGATTCATACAGGTATTTTAAGTCGATTTTAAATTGGTTTACAAAAATTGGATTTTTATTTAATTTACCACTATAATAAAGGTTTAATTTTCTATAATAGAACTCCCATCCTTATCACGCCTAGTGTAGGTATTCTATTTGAAATCTAAATATAAATTGCTATCCAGTCATTTAAACCATCACAGCAGGTATTGTCATTGTTATTTTAACTAATGAACAAATTGTCAGGGTTTTCCATAGTGTCGGATTCACAGAGTATATCTTTATGATCGTAATGTACTTGCTGTTATTCAATTTCATTTGTTCTCCATTGTTTGCATATGCAACAAGTTATCTGAATCAGTAAAATTATTGTTGAAATAAGCTGTTGAATGACATAATGTAATTTCAACGCTTAGACTACCTATAAAAACAATGCAACAATGTTAAATGTGGAATTTAAAGAAACCAGAAGATAGCGCTTCAACTACTGTTGTGGACAGAGCATTATCAATAGTGTATCAAATAGACAAAGTTACTGTAGGTCGTAGTTCCCAATCCCGAACTTGGAACTACTAAAATAACTTTAGGTCATTTCTGTAATCATTTGGAGAACAATTACACATTGTATCGATGGATCAACAGTATAACGATCAAGTGTAGTCTTCCCTCTAATGTACTCGTTACTTTGTAACTATTACATTAGTACCTACCCAACTAGTTGAGTAAATAACGTAGGAAATGGTCTTTGACAATCATAGAATTCATCATCGATGTTCTCTAGAATAGTTCTAAATTTTACTATAAAAAATATAATTATAATTATGGTAACTGGGTGTGTTAAAGCCAACTTGACCACGCGAATAAGTGCCTACGGAAAGAGTCAAAACAATAACTATAACATAACATTTACTGATTGAACACTGACCAACGAATAGTCGGTCAGATCCCTTTTTATATTGTACACACTGTTATTAATAATAAACAAGTATTTGATGCCAGCGAATCGATGGTAATTAATAAATACAATACAATACTTTTTAAAAATGAATTCAAGTAACAACACTTTCTAGTAATTAAAATATTATCTACGAATTAACTAAAAACATTAACCTAATTTATCATTTCTAAATATTTGTAATAAACAAAAAAAAATAAAATAAAAAGTTAAAAGGAATAAAATAATATAATATTATAATAAAGTATGTGATCAAATATAGCACAATATGTAAGGGTGTAAAGGCTGTAATGATATAAGTAAAGAGGGGTTTTAAAAAGCTTAATACATAACCACATAATAAGGGTAATGGTAAAATAAATAAAATAAACACTAAAGTTTGTGACAAAATAGTAAATTGATTCGGGGGTTTAACAATATTGAATAAATGATGTTAAATATCCCTTACAAAATTGTATAATTTATCTAACTGGTTTATTATGTGATAGATTTGTTTATGGTTTGAAAAAATAAATAAAACTTACCTTATATCCTATATAACATATCGATAATTTAAACAACGTTGATTTTGAATTTCACCGTGTTTCACACTACGTGTTTTGTAGTTAATATGACTGTTTAAAAAAACGATTTAATTTTAAACATTATGAGATCGTTACACAAAATCTACGACTGTTTTTTTAAATGTAGGAGATTCTATATACGCTATATTTTTATTATAAATATAATTTCATAATGTACCCTTATTTCATTTTGCTAAATAAGTATTTTATTTTTGAGAGAGCATATTTTATTGAGAGACGACACCAACATTTTTTAAAGATTTCTGGCCAAAACAAGATTTAAAAATATTTATATTTATATAAAAAATTTGTCAAGTCGTTATTGTGTTGGCTCAATGTAACCCGGCGCTAACGCCCTGACAGGAAGCTTCACAATAATCACCGAGACAAAAAATAAATACTAAAAAATATATTTGTAAGTTTCTTTGCGCTGTCTGCCAATGCGATGTTCGTTAGAACAAAGACATTAAGCTCAGAAACTTTTAACCCAATAAGTATAGGTTTGCAATACACTTGGTCTAATCAAATAATTATAAAGTTGATTTAAATGTCCGTTTGAACTGAAAAATTGTGACCTTTGGCATTGTCCGCCGGCGCAAGGTTTAAGATATTAATTGACATTTATTTCCATGATAAGAAAAATAATACATTATTATTTAATAAACAAATAAATTTAAAATGAAAGAATTACATTTCTAGATATAATTAAGGAAGTAGAAGTTGATGTTGCTTTTGTAATTATCCACTAATTTCTTAAAATTAAACACTATCTACAGATTTGCATAGAATCGTATCTTATGTTAGTGATTTTAATCACTATCTGATTAAATCTATACTGGACTCAACTATGTCACGTCCTACTGTGCCGCGACCTCACTGTGCTGGGTTTTTTTTTTTATTTGAACAAAACATGTTAAAAAGAACATAAAACAAATATCATGTTCCAATCATTTTAATCCTGTTTAAAACAATTAAAACTAATTATTTCTATTATTTTTTATTTTACATATTTTTTCTCAACCTTGACAAAAGTATACAATAGACATAATCTAACTCAATGAAAAAAAAAAATTCAATTGCAGCTCGGTCACTTATAATTTTCTGGATTTAGGTATACTGAAGAGTAGTAATGAGCATTTTCAAATTTTTAAACAATCCAATAGTATTCGATAATTTTTTAAAACTATCGGATTAATTTTATGAACCGATTTGTTTTTAGCATAAACTATCAAAAATTTATAAAACTATCGAAAAGTTTTAAAAAATATTCGAATAGTTCTACCTAAAATTTGTATTAAATACACTTAATTATAATAAGAAGATAATTAACGAATACTTAAAATAAATTATTATTATTGATGTGTAGTTTTGAATATTTTAAGCTATCGAATAGTATTTGATAAACCGAAAGTTTATTTTTAGCATAAAGTTTATGCTAAAAATGCCATAAACTATCAAATATTTAAAAAAATTCAAATAGTTCGAATAGTTCGATAGTTACTATTCTATATTCCCCATCACTACTGAAGAGTAATTAAAATAATTAACCGGTGAAGAAATTGTGGGAGTTCTATATATATTTCACAAAAATAAGCTATGTAGACGTTATTGGGTATGTCAATTACATTTTTGGATGAATTTGTAGTAAATAAATTAATGAATAATATTAGGTTAGACTTAATGTGATTTTTATGAAAAATATATAGCGTAAATTAATGGTAATCTTATAAAATGTTCAATTATATATTTAATTTTAATAAGATAATTTCATTAATATTTGTATTTCATCAAATTAATATTATTTTATGGCATACGATGAATATGTATTAAAATATTTACAAATTTTAGATTTTATGATATTTGATTTATTATTATTGTAGTTCAAATGTCACTAATAAATGTAAAGTAACTTTGTGATAAGATATTTAATTTCATGGTAGTGGTGAAATAATTTCGTAATTAACTCCAGTTTTGTTTCTTTATCATTTAGCTATAGGTATTATTTCGGTATTGCTATACTGACGATATTTTATTAACATTGTGTTTAATGTTACATATTTAATTTCGTGATAATCGCAAAAATATTTGCAGATTCACATGGAGAAATATGTAATCTTTAAGAGCACTTGGTGCTTAAAATAATTTTTGTTATAATTGTGTTTAATAAAAGAATGTAACTTAAAAAATTAATTTTTTAACGTGAAAACATTAACAAAATGCATATTTGCGGCGGTAAGGAATAGCTAATTACCAGTAATAAATTTAAAAATCACAACTGTACCATTAAATCAAGCATATTATCAAGTTTAATAATAAAGACTTATCTTAGAATATGTTAACAAAAATATTAATTAAAAAAAAGGACGAAACTATAAGAAATATATAAACTGATAAAAAACAAATAACGTATCCCATGCACTCAATGGTTGTACGCCTGTGACAGTAGTACCACTAATAACATTTAACGATGTTTCGCAATTTATCGACTAACAGGTATCTTTAATATAAAAATTGAAAAAAATTTTAGAAATTTATCTATATCACACATCTACCTTCACCATACTGTATTATATTATTAATTTAAGAGATCAAAAAATATTATGTTGTCTCTGTATTTTTAAAATAATATTTTTTAAACAAATTAATAAAGCCATACAGGAAAATTAAAAACACATAACAAACCAAATGGCAATATACTTACTGTCATACTATTATTACTTTACTAATTTATTTTTTGGTCAGTAGGTTAAATAAAAATAAGTAATGATTATTTATAGAAGTTATTTATTTGTAACACTTCAATTTTATTAATATAAAAAACATTTTATCATTAACAATTGAATGCACCTAATATTTTACATAGTTCACTAATAAACTTGTAAATTTCGTCAGCAATATTATTAGGTTTAGAATTATCGTTTTAGAAATTTATCGTTTGCTGTGTACAAAAAGGTGTTTATAAGCATAAAACGATGGTTAGTAAAAAACTTAGTAGTTACCTTATTATACTTCTACCTTGAAATATAACGTAATTTTATATTTCATAACATTCAAGATATTACTGGATAGTCTAATAAAGCTCGTCTCAAAATAAACGAATTCATCAATTATAAGATTTAATTAATGTAATCAATATGTTGTATAGTTAAACAAAAATTACCTTAATTAATCGTTGTCAAACTTTGATTAATCTTTAAACAAAATATTTTATCAAAAAAAATAAAATATCTTACTATATTCACATACATAAGAATAATACACATATATATCATTTAGATTGTTTAAATAGTTTATTTTAAGTTAACATTTTTAAAATAACAACTTTAATATATCGACTAAAGTTGTTTTAATTGTTTAATTTATAAAATTAACAAAATAGTTAACTAAGAGGGTACAATATTTTTGAGTACTTTATACCTTGTTCATTAAAAATTTTAAAAAATTTGCAAAAACTGGGTTCGCTAATTCATTAATCTGGTTATTAATGTATAAAATATATATTAAGTATATATTAATCGTTAGATCACTTTGTTATTATACATACATATAAATAAGAGTATATTATATTTCTGCAGTATTAATTGTTAACAAAGAAAGAGTAACAATGAATATTATAATGATGATAATATTTAAATGAAGTTACAAATTAAAATAATTTGTGGTATTATAAAAATAATTAATTTTTTTACATTATACTGGATTTTAAAGGCTAGACAATGGAGGATTAAGCTAAAATAATTATAATTTTACAAAAAGGTATTAATAATATAATTATACATCAGGTGTTGGTGGCAAATCGATGGCACGTTGATAAGGGTCCGAAAAAATTAACTTGAATTGTTTCCATCAGTAATCTGATATATAAATATATTTTTCTTTTTTATTTCCAATAAACTTAAATATAGGTTTTGTAACTATGGTAAGTTAGATTATAATTTGATTTTATTATCATGGCTATCATTTATATGAGACAAAAAAAAATTATCGATAACTAAACATTACTTAGCAGTCATTTGTATTCAATTTTAAAGACACAAATAATTTTTGTAGAGTTGGTTATCCAATCCAATTATAAAAACTGGTCATTTCTCTTGAAAATTTCAACGAAGAACCACCACCGGCTGTATTTAAGTGATTATTTTTTAATAATTCAATTTTGGAAAGGTAAATTAAAATATTTAATTATTAATATATTTGTTATTCCTTTTTTCATACATTTTAATTGTATTATTGTTTAATGTTATAAACAATATAGATGTATAAATATCATTAAACTGTATAAATGAGAAACATTCATAATAAATACACTTCTTAAACTTTTTTCTCAGATATATTATAAACTTGAATTAAATAAAATAAATTTATATTTTAAAAAATAACAAAGATAATAATTTGATGAAAAGTTGTTTTATTTAAATAAATATTTTTATTTTATAATTAATTTTTTTCAACTCTTCTATTATTATAATTGTGTTTATATTTTTTTTGCACTTAAACATAATTTGTGAACTTTTTTAACTCTAAAAATAATATGATTAGTTTTTTATTTACGATTTACCAAGATCTCTTATAATACTCTTCATCATTACTACAAGTTAAACAATTAAACAATTAAAGAAATAAGAATTTTAGTTTAATATTTGGAATTTAAAAAAATAGCTGAAATGTAATATCCCAAAAAATTGTGATTAATGTTAATTAAATAATGAAGTTCTTGTCATTAAAAAATTTTTGAGTTCATTAATAATCAATTTTAACACAATTACATTTTTAATCAACTATTTTTTTTTTTATAATATACTTTATATGTGATTTAAATAATTGCGACATACAAAATAAGTAGTTTTTTTGTCATTCTTAAATTAATTAATAGGTTACTCTTAAAAAAAAAAACATAAATCTCCCATTCAACTTCAATGTCCGACAAATCTAAGTTATATCGTTAGATGAACACGATTTTGTTAGATTTTGTTTAGCTTTAATTTTAATGATTTTAGTAAGTTAATTAGAAAAGTAATGAGTTGAAAAAAATGTTTACTAATCTAGTTTATTTTTACTTTAGGTTAAAACAGTTAGTATTGTGTTAAAATTAAATACATGAATAAATATCACGACATATATTTGATTAGTAATATTTAATAAGTCTCTAATTTGAAAAATTAATAATATTTAAAATGTACGTTATAAAGAAGACTAATTGAGCAATATTAATATAAATTTGTTTTGTTATTATATACAGAGTAATTGATTTTGGGTAAGAAACTTTTTCATTAGAAACTATTTAATATGTATTTTTTTTTATAGAGAAAAGAACTGTAAAACATATAGTTAAATCATTTTATTTTCATCTCTTCAGGGATAAAAAATCTTCATTTTTTTTAATAGGAATTCTATTTAACACGCTTATATTAGTTTCACCTGTATGTATGTATGTATGTAACTCTCCAAACGCCACGCGTTATCGCATATTCCGTTGTCTAGACTAGACTGTCATAACGCATTCACCCCACCCCGCGCCTCGCTCATCACACACCGGCAATACTATTCCTGTATAAATTTATTTTTGGTTATCGTACCCGTACTTGCATGCTTGCCATCAATATTATATATATATATAAACAAATTTTTATTTTGACTGACCATTATCATCCGCGTCTAATGCGCTTTACGTATATATATNGCATACAGCTTACGTATATATTCCTACCGCCGTTTATACCTCACGTTTAACGTTAGTCCGACCCGCCCGCCCACAAAACACGGCTATACCTAGTGCATGATACGTTTACGTACTAAAGTCGCTCTACATGTATATATATATTCTAATTACTATTAAAAATATATATTAACACACTTTATTCTTATTTAGAGTATAGAACTCATTCATTCCGATTACAAAGGATGAATCCAATATCGTCATTTTTCGTCACTACCTCCATGTTCCGGGAGTGGGTAATTTACGCGCCTGTTGCTTTCCTTGGATGTGGTAGCCGTTTCTCAGACTCCCTCTCCGGAATCGAACCCTGATTTCCCGTTACCCGTTACAACCATGATATTGATAGTAACTACTATCATAACATGAAACTAAAAAGTGAAAAATAAATATAGTTTAAAAAAACNAAAGTTAAAAATCATTTTTAAAATAAACTTAATATAATTATGAATAAAAAATACTAGTATTATTGTGATAAAAGCGTCGGGCGCTCAATATACGAAAAATATGGCACAAAGCACCCACGCTTTTATCACAATAATACTAGTATTTTTTATTCATAATATATTAAACTTATTTTAAAAATTATTTTTAACTTTTTAGTTCGATGTGCTTTAAAAGCATGTTTTTTTAGTTTTTTTAAACTATATTTATTTTCATTGAATTTGTAATTTTTATTGTTTAATCTATTCGTCTGTAACAAAATTTTAAAGTTTAAGTAGGAGATCAATTTGCTAATTATTTTTTATTACTAAAAATAATAGAAGTTTTCAATTTTACGTTTATCTATTTTATTAGATATTATTTACTATAGTACAGAAATCTTATCTTTAATAACTCCTGTCTATTAATAGTGGCTCTCTGATATTAAACGCAGGTTTTTTTATAGTACTTTTTGATACAAAAAAACCAAATTAATAATGGATTTTGCTTTAAATCCAAAATATCAAATAGTCTTCAAACGCGAACAAAATTGTATGGTTTTTTGTCTATCAAATTATTAAGTTATAAATATGAGTTCCTATTTAAATAAATTGAAAGTTATTAATCTTTGAAGGAATGATAAAAAATTTTTCCTATTACAATAAATTTCTTTTATAAATATTTTAAGTGTTCATTGTTTTTGAAAAAAATATGGGGCTTACCTAAAATGATTGTGTGATATTATTAAACATTTTAATTGCAATCTTTAANTTTTTTATTGTACTTTTTGATACAAAAAAACCAAATTAATGATGGATTTTGCTTTAAATCCAAAATATCAAATAGTCTTCAAACGCGAACAAAATTGTATGGTTTTTTGTCTATCAAATTATTAAGTTATAAATATGAGTTCCTATTTAAATAAATTGAAAGTTATTAATCTTTGAAGGAATGATAAAAAATTTTTCCTATTACAATAAATTTCTTTTATAAATATTTTAAGTGTTCATTGTTTTTGAAAAAAATATTCGGCTTACCTAAAATGATTGTGTGATATTATTAAACATTTTAATTGCAATCTTTAATTCTAATTAAATAAAAATAAGAATTATTAATAATAATATACAAAATAGTCAATTTTAGATAAGACGCTTATTTTTTCAGAAATTATTAAACATTTAAAATTTGTGAAAAGAAATTTTTTAACATTATTTCTAATAATAAATGAAATATTTATAACACAAAAAAATAAATACTATTAGAAATGTATATAAATAATTAACAAGAGTATCAACTATGATTTTTTATTTTTGTTTTGATCAACTATTTACTATTGAGTAAATCAATTTTTTCTTTTATTTATAATGTTGGCTATTTATAACAATAAAACTACACTAAATTAATTTTTTAATAATGCATTATACAGAATGATCTTTTAATCATAATCTATTCAATATCTTACAAAATAAAAAAAATTTGAATAAAAAAATTAAACAAAATTGATCTAATTTGTATAATGACTGGTTGATAAAATCTTTTAAATTAGTATTTAAGAAGTTATTACCTTTTTAAAATATGGACTTTAGGTGAAGTACGAGTATGATCAATTTTATTATTAGACATTTCTCGACTGCTCTCCTTAACCTGCCTAGATATAAAAATGGGAATAACTTGGGTCCTAAAAATGTTATCGACCAGTCATATTTATAATTAAATCATTTTATAAACTTTCTATTTTATTTTACAAGTCAAACCTAACGTAAACGAATCTTAAAAATACTACAAACTGATAAATCGAGAAACTAATAAGTCGCATATAGAAACTATATGCAACTAAAAAAGCAAAAAAAATATTCCCTAAACTATCACATAAATAAATCTCCTTGTATTATTTTTTTAGTGCCTTATTTTTGTTTAGATTTTTATTAAATGTATTAATTATTCATTATTTTCTGTTATTAAATTTCATTAAAAATAATATGTAAAAGACTTTTAAAAAAATAGTCCATAAAATCGATAAAAAAAATAAAATAACCTCTTCATTTAATTAAGCGCCGTAAATTAACCTAAGCTTTTCTAAAATTTATAAATAAATAAAATGATCTAAATTATTTTACTAGTTATAAAGTAATTCTAGAAAACTTTTCTTTTTGAATTATGTAATTATAATTAGTCAATGAATTTGGTATTATTATAAAGGAATATTTTGCAGTTCCATCAAAAGCTTTGTAAGAACAGCTCTTTGAACAATTAAGTTTTAAAATTTACCACCAGTCATTTCATTTCTAACATGTCTTCAGGTATAAAAATTAGATTAAATTTTTTTTATAAACCAACTTTGTTCCTTTGTAAAAATTTAATAATAAAATTTTAGATAATAAATTTCCCGAAAACTTTTTATTTGGCGCTTCTTCTAGTGCATATCAAATCGAAGGTGCATGGAATGAAGACGGTAATTTGATTATTGAATATTTTTTAGTTTAGATATAACACTGGGTTTCAAAAATGAAAAATATCAACCATTTTGATTTTCTTTTTAGGTAAAAGCAAAAGCATTTGGGATTACCGTTACCATAATGAAATCACCGATTTAAAGAAAAATAAGCATAAGTATTTTTCTATTCGTCCTGGATCTCATAAGTACCATCATCATTTAATTAAAAATTCAGACATTAAATTTGTAGGTTTTCACAATGATCATTTGATTTTTGAAGATTTGTCCATCGACAAACATTTTACTTCAGGAGTTGAAGATGACGGTTTAANTGTCCATCGACAAACATTTTACTTCAGGAGTTGAAGATGACGGTTTAACATCAGGCGATGTTACATGTGATTCTTACCATAAATTTGAGGAAGACATCAAAATATTAAAAAAGCTAGGTGTATGTTCTAATATGTTATGTAGTGTGATAAATTTTCATTAATTTTAATAGAAATATTTTATATAAAATTTACAGGTTCAAGTTTATCGTTTCTCAATTAGTTGGACGAGAGTTTTACCGAGAGGACATGATACTTCACCTAATCCTGCTGGTGTTGAGTATTACCATAAAATAATAGATTTACTACTTGAGAATGATATTACACCAGTAGTATGTATAGCTTATTTTAAGTATATAAGTTTTTTTTATTAATATTTTAGTGTTTTTTTAGTATTTTGTTTTTATTTAAAAATGTAAACATCATATACATTTACATTTATGTAATTATTATTCTAATTTTAAAAAAATATTAAAAAAGTTTCTTTATTAATAAAATAATTATAATATCTAAATAATTTATAAAATTTTAATTTTTAGTAATATATACAATTAATTGAATCAAATAATTTTTAGGTTACTATTTATCACTGGGATCTTCCACAATCAATTCAAGTTCTTGGTGGATGGGCAAATAACAATATTTCGAGATATTTTGAAAACTATGCAAATTTTCTTTTTAAGACTTATGGAGATAAAGTAAATTTATTTTAAGTATATTTTTAATGTACACTGTCTTTTAACAGTGTATATTGACAATACTGTTAGAAATATTCTTTAAAATGTAATCTCATTATATTTATAGAAACTTGAATTATGTAGCTAGCATACATGTTACATTACAACTAATATTTTTTACTGATGTATTAGGTTAAATATTGGACAACAATAAACGAACCAAGAATGGCATCTGAAGGCTATGGTGGTAACTATGGTCATGCTCCGCAATTAGGTAAAAATTATGGTGGATTAGGAGATTATATGGCTATTCATAATCTTCTATTAGCTCATGCAAAAGCTTACAGACTCTATGAAAAGAACTACAAATCAACCCAACAAGGTACAATTTTATTTTTTTTATATATAGTAAAATTAATTGAAAAATATATTTAACAACTAAAAAATACATAATTACATTTAATATATCTAAATATATGGTAGATAACTATAGGTAGATAAATAAATAGACAATAAAATGGTTAATTAACTTGGATATGGCTAACTATTGATGGCTTTATGTTAAAATGTGTACACTATGTATAATTTTGATACTAGTATTGACTACTGTGCTATTATGTACGAAATTTACTATATCTAGTGTTGCAAAATTTAAGGATATTTAATACAAGTGAAATTTTTGAAAAATTGCTACTTAAATGTCCAGAAAATTTAGAAAAGTTAGACATTTTTATTTAAGAACTTTTGATTAACTATTTTTTTTAGATAATCGTTTTTTAAAAATTTAATTTTAAATAACTATGAGTACCATTCAAATATATATCATTAGATATTTATCAGCTTTATTTCATCTAAGTATTAAAATGTTAATAACTTACAAAATACTGGTTCAAAAGATTATTCAGACATTTTCTTATTTTGATAATTTTCTATTTTATTAGTTAGTCAAATATGTGTGATGCCATTAAAAAAATTAACTTGACACCCTTATAACTAGTTACTGTAATTATATAAATTTATAAATTTTGTTAAGTTATTCCGGCAACATCACTAGTCACCAACATTTTTTAGCTTCGATGCGAAGCTGAAAAGGTACTGGTTTTACTATGATGAGTTTTTTTTTTTTGTGTGTCTGTTGCCACTTTTTCTCAGCTCTCACTGGACCGATTTCTTTCAACAACACGTCAAAAGATCACAAATCGTATCTAGTTGAAGACATTACCCTTAAAAATTGAAAACTTTTCCCTCGTTTCACCCTAATAGGGGAAATATCCTAAAAAATGTTTAATTTAAAAATCGTTAAATTTTGTCATTTTTTTTTCTTAAAACTTCCATAACTTTTTCAAAATTCAACAAATTAACATAAGTTTTTTTTATACCAAAACCTTAGATATTTTCCTTTCATTTGATATCATTTTTTTGAAAATCTAACACTTAACCTGCTCATTGGAGGGGATTTAAAATAGCAACTTTTTTACAAAAACTAACTTTTTTAAGTTAATTTTTGAAAATGTTCCGGAAATACTGCGTCCTTTAAACATATATCAAATTAAAGCTTATTTTATGTACTACAAAATGAAAAAAAAAAATTTGTCCCGACACTTTATCTTCTGTATGTAAACGGCTGCCGTAGTTAAAAAAACTCTATTTTTGTGTTAAAATTTTCGATTTTAAATTTTCAACTTAAAAATGCTATAACTTTTCGAAAAATGTAATTATCATCACAAATTTTTTTTTTTCCAAATACATTATAAGTATATCTTTCATTTGACATACTTTTTTATTAAAATTGGACAATTTCCCCATATATAGGGGGCGTTCAAAACTTGAAACATTGTATAAAAAATAGCAAATATTATTATCAATAGACTTTGAATTATCAATTAAAGTAATCCTAACCAAATTTTTATGTATTTATTTTATTAAATTTCTATTTTTAAATATATATTTTCAGTGGTTGAAGAATTTTCCATTTAACAAATTTCTAACTTACAATACTAACTATAATTAATTATTTTTTTTTTAGGTCAAATATGTATTTGTCTAGATATATTATGGGCCTTTCCAAAAGACCCAAACAGCGAAGATGATAAAAAGTCTGCCCAACTTTTTCTTGAATCTAATGTAATAACTAAAAATTATAAATGCAACTCTCATGTTCTAAATTTGTAGATATTTATTTGTTATAATATTTTTTAGGTTGGATTATTTATTGAGCCACTTGTTACTGGTAAAATTCCAAAAGCCTATTTGGACTCAATTATAGATACTAACCAGCAGAGAAGAATTAATGTTTGGCGAATGATACAATTCACTGAGGAAGAAAAAGAATTATTGATAGGTATATTTTATTCAAATTTGATTCATTACATGCTTATACCACTATCTAAATAAAATTTTCTTAAAAGCAATTTTTTCTAAATATTTTTAAAACGTAATTATTTGAATAATACTCCCAATTAACTTTAGAATGACAATCTTTTTTCATTTAACTAATTTTATTACATTTTGTCTTTTCAGGGTCTTATGATTTTTTATCAGTCAATTATTATCATTCGTTGTTTATTTCTGCATTGCCTGAAGATAAAGTTACTGATCCTGATCTTGATCTTAAAACAGTTGATCAAAGATCTATTGTACCTAATTGGTTTGATCCAGTTGACCAGAATGATGTAAATTTTTTAACTAAACGTATATTTATTAAGGATAACTTATTTATCTTTTTTTTTTTTTGATTCAGACTATAATAGGCTTTAGAAACATAATGAATTGGTTAAATAAAAAATTAGGGCAAATTTCACATATCAGGAAGCCAAAATTTTTTATTTCTGAAAATGGAATAACTGATGATGCTACCAATGACCCGACTTATAAAGAAAAAATAAATTATCACTATGTAAGTATTTAAAAAATCTCTTTTTATAATATATTCCATATATATGTATACATTAGGGCAATCTATTTTTTATTGATATACCTTTACTAAACTAATAAAGTTGTTAAAGAATTAATTCTTTTATTAACAATTTATTTTATCATTTTAGGATATCATAAAAGAAACCAAAAATTTGATAGATAGTGGTATTGACATTTTTGGGTATTGTGTTTGGTCATTGATGGATTCCTTTGAATGGAGTGAGTCAAGGTAAGTTGATTAAAATAAAAAACTTATACTTGTATATTTATAAAACTCAGTTTCATTGTTGTAATATATTTAATAATGATTTGTTTATTAGTTATTTATTGTGTAAGAAACAATGTAAATCCTGACTAAACATAAGTATTAATGTAATAGATATTTTAATTAAAATTAATTTTTTAATTTTTAACAAATAAATAATTTAATAAATTCATTATCTTAAAGTATAAGTACAGTTAATTAGTAACTTTATAATGTTATTAATTTCTTAATGTTTTCAGTCCAAAGTATGGAATTTATAAGGTCGACTTTAAAGATCCTAACAGACCTCGCACACCAAAACCTCAAGTTGTTGAATTTTTCCAAGATGTATTTTTACATAAAGAGTTGAAAGATACAAGACCAAACTAAACATATGTATATTATTGGATTTTACAAAAACTTACTTTTACTAATTTTATTTTATTACAACTATTATTTTTTATCTTTCAAATGTTTTAATTTAAACTATATAAATCATTTATACTTTATAATACAAAATATCTATAATTGTTGAATTTTATTTTTCATTTATATGTTTATTATACAATTACTTATTAAACAAAAATTATGATATTTTTATTAACTCCCTATTATGCCTATAAAATAAATTATTATAATCATTTATAATTCAATTATTGTAATTATAATAACAATAATTTTTTGCATATATAATATAAAATTAAATTTTTTTTATATTTTTAAAATTGATATAATTATATTAATGTAAATCACGTTACGTTGCTCAGTGGGTAACAATTTTGCCTTTCACACTTGGGGACGAGGTTCTAATCCCTCATTGTCAACAAATTCTTTGTATTTTTTTCTATATTCTTTTTAGTTAGAAAAAATTGTTTAATTCATTTGATTTTTTTTTCATTCAGATTCAATAACTTCAATAAATATCAGGGGATCCTATTACTGCAGTCTCCCCTCATAAAAAAATTTCTTATTCATTAAAAATTATTTTTCTTTATGTTGTCATTTATTTTTTTAGCTTGAACTTGAAATACTTTTTTTAATGATACGTCAAAAATACAATTTGTATCTAATTTAATAAAAGTATTCCACTTTATCAAATAAAAAGTATCTTTACAAATTTCTTCTTACAGACAATTAAAAACATTCATTTTTAATGTATTTATTCACAAATTAGCATAGTTGTAAAAAATACTTTTAAAAAGTATTTTAAATAATATTCGAATATTTAAAAAAAAATGTATTTAAAATACTATTTGAATATTTTTCATACAAAAGTATTTGAGTAATACTCAATTACTTTACAAAAGTATTTCAAATACTAAGAATACAATTAAAAAATAATAATAATGTTTTTATTTTAACTAAGAGCAAAAGGTTCTACCTAAATAATTACCAAGTGAGTAATTTGAGTCAAATATTGAGTACTCTTAAATTAAGAGAATTCATTTATTATTTTTGATATTTTTTGTTAGAGGTAAATAAAATTAATTATTGGAGACTAATCAGTGAAAAAAATAAATATTAGTACACGTGTAAAAACCTGTAAAGTATGTCTTATTGACAATAGAGTAAATCATTTGAACCTGCAATAGGCTATTGTAGGTTCAACTGATGTATTAAAAATAGATGTATACATAATAGCATTTAGATAAGCACAATAATTATGTTATACTATAATGTAACACATAAAATAATTCTCAATTTTCATTTGGACTGAGTTTAATTTGCTTGATGTGTTACGGTTAGAAAATTAAAAAAAAAAAAGTATATTAATAGTACTGAATATTAAACAATATTAAATACTAAATAATTGTATTTAAAATACTACTCAGATACTTTTTATTAAATGTATTTAAAAATACTATTCAATACCAATGAAAGTATTTGAATACTTTTATTCAAATACATTTACTCAAATGCTTTACGCCTTTGCANTACTTTTATTCAAATACATTTACTCAAATGCTTTACGCCTTTGCAAATTAGGTACGATATGATAATAGGTTTCAACAACAAAATTAAATTATTTTATTATGTAATTTATAAATTTTTTCACTTTATTTTTGTGTGCCACTACCAATCTATAATCTAATTTTTTTGGTAACATTACTATAGAAATTTTTTCTAAAAAAAAATTATTTTTTATTTCATCTGAATTTAACAATGAATTTTTACAATTATAACAAATTTTATAATACACTAAATTGAGTAATTTTTTTAACAAGTTTTTGATTGTTTTTTTATAGTTTCGATGCAAAACTAAGAAATTATTAGTCTTGATGTACGTTTTTTTATGTCTGTCCATAAAAATTCTCAGCTCTCACTGGACCAATTTTGATGATAATATATCAAAGAATCAATTTTAATCTAATCATCAAACTAATTGTTGTAATATGCCCAATTCTTTGCATTACTGATCTTACATTTATTAATAAAAAAATTATAATCTGTATTTTATATTACTTGTATACAAACAAATAATTAATTTATCTGTCATAATATATACACAGTTGTACACAGTGCTCGAATTGGCCAAAAATAAGTAGGGGAGCTCAACTTAACAATTTGAAAACTGCGTCCTTAGCATTTTGAAGACCTTTTTTTTTTTTACTCATTACTTTATTTAGTATTTACTAATAAATCATATTTCATTATCATACTAATATTAAAAAAGAGGTGGTATTTTCCACCGTCCTCCCGTCACAATAAAAAAAAGTAGTTGGGGTGTGCAAAAAAATTTAAAAAAAAGTAGAGGAGCTACGTCCCCCTGCGCACCCCCCCAATTTGAGCACTGGTTGTACACTAATTATTATATATGTATATAATGTTGTTAAATTGATTATTGTAACTATGTATCTTATCTTAAAGTAATAATCATGCTATGTTCAATTTACTACAATAAACTGAAAATCACTAAAAGCACTGACGACAACATCCTATGATGGCAGCAAATAAAAATAATATAAAAAACGCTTAGTTCTGCTTGCACGTACGTGAGCGAGCTTGCCAGTGAGTGGTTCTTCTACACCTTTTTTTTTTTTAATTTTTAATGCTCTAAATTCAATATAAAAATTCAGAATTCTATTGTTCACTTTATTCTTCTTAAACTAGCCGCGACCCCACATTGTCGTCGGTACATTTTAAGACAATATTGAATATAAATAATTATTTTTGTGTCAAGACTTTATTTATTTATATATAAAAAAGAAACAGTATAAATATTTACGCAAATCTTGACGAACTTTATACAAGCTATCTAAAAGAAGTAAGTACATTCATATTAACTCCCCAATTTTTTCGAATCAATAATCTGAGTAAAGAATGCTAAAGCAATAGATTGATTTAAACATTATCTGGGACTCAAAACATCAACTCGGACACTAAAACACCGATATCACCTCCTAGTTACTTTAATTTTATTTTTGTATTACTACATAATAGTCATCAAATATTGGAAAAAATCCAAAAATTTATACAAATATCTACTGTAAAAAAAATGGCAACTTCAATTAAAAACTTTTTTTAAATAAATATCTCTACAAATAATAAAAGTATAAAATTTGTTTTTATATACAGTAAAATTATATCACAAAAATAAAACATTTTTTAACCAGTATAAACCAAAATACAATTTGCTTAACCACGTTATTACGCTGATTTAAAACATGCAATTAGATTAATGTCCATCGCCTTTTTTTGGGATTACTGATTTATAAAAACGAGTATACTAATATATAATAGAAGAAGAAAAAAAACGCTTCTTTGGAAAAACTACTTAGCGTGATCGGATTTTCAAAAATTTTTTTTTTCAAGGAAAGTACTCGTCACGAGAATCCGGGAAAGTTATTTGCGAAGGTCAGAAAATAAATAAATTCATTTATTTAAATGAAAATAAATACATTTATATTTGTAATATAAACTTATACTTTTATTCAGTAGCGGCTCGTGGCTTGGATGACGGGACGATCGTACCCCCTACTAAAATTAATTGTATATTCTTAATTTTACATTTTTATTAGAAATGCAAATTTTTAAATAGTAAAATAGTTATAATACACTTATCGTTTGCGAACATCAAAGTTGTTTCTCTCAGTATAATGCAAGTATGCATCTACTCACGCGAACAGTGTTTGGACGACCGGCAGCGTCGTCCGAGCAATATGCAGAAACGTATATTATAAGTAGGACGCCCAATCGTGTGGGTACGGTCAGGTGCAATCTTAAGTACGGGTTTTGGACGACCGGCTGTGTCGTCCATATGGTAAAATATTAATATATTACTAAATTGGGTAATTTATTTTCAGAATTATCTGGGTGTACGCTCGTCGATGTGGCTTACTATAATTGCATAATCGCTATTATTATTATTAACACGCTTATATTAGTTTCATGTATGTTTTTTGTAACTCTCCACGCGCCACGTGTTCTTAATCTCGCGTATCCCGTCGTTTATGACCTTGAGACTAGACTGTCGTAACGCATTCACCCCAACCGCTCATCACACGCGGACAACACTATTCCTGTATAATTTTATTTTTGGATTTTGTACGCGTACACGCGTGCGTTTCATCAATATTATATGTATGTATATATATAATCAATTTTTTATTGTGACACGGCCCCGTCACTCATGCTACCTTTATCAGCCGTCGCCCTACTATCAGTATTTTTTTTTGATTGACCAATACGCCCGCGTGCCATACGCCTCATGTATATATATTTATATATTGCCTATGCCTATTGCCGCTGCCGCCGTTTATGCCTCAGGTATAGCGTTCCCGCCACGCACTGCCTACCTAAAAAATACCTCGTGTATGACACATTTTCGTACTTTACATGTATATATATATATATATATTCTAATTGCTATTAAAATTTATACATTAACACGCTATATTCTCATTAAGAGATATAAAGTGTATTCAATCCGATTACGGGGGATGATTCCCCGTATCGTCATTTTTCGTCATTACAATAATAAACGAAAAATACTAGTATTTTTGTGTGATAAAATAAGCTTAAAACAATAATGAACGAAACATAATAGTATTATTGTGAAAAAAAATAAACTTTAAACAGTAATAAACGAAAANAATATTCTCGATCGGCCATAAAAAGAATATTCTAGACCCACTACACACTATAAAACGGCGCAACATAATTATAACGATATATATTTTGTGTTTGTAATAATTTGTGATCTCTGCTAAGACACGTTAATTTTTTTGTAAATTTTGCGTATATATTACTGAATAACATCGCGCAAATTGATTTGGATATTGATTAAGTAAGTTCGACTTTATTTCTTTTTATCTTTTGTATGTATTTAATTATTAATTGAACATATTTATATTTATTTTAAAAAAAAATTATCATAGTTCAAATAATACTTATAATAGTAGTATTATAAGTATTATTATAATAATTTTATGTTATTTTTTCATCGTAACCGGTTCGAAATTTATTTATTTAATATTTTTGTAGTAAAATGCCACCGAAAAAATCGAACCTTTCCGCGAGTAGTAGAGAGGCACGGCGCAAACGTGCAAAAAGAAGTTTTCGGTCAGCACAGCAACATGAAGAACATGAAAGACAGCGAACCAGTCGCGAATTACAACTTGGATCATTTGTTCGTCTTGCCTTTGAATATGCACCGGATATTAATTACTCTGCGCATTCTTTAATTTCCATCGGTGAAATGAACAAAGTATGCCAATATTGTCAGGCGTTGAAATTCCCCAATGAAACACCTGGACTGTGTTGCGCATCAGGAAAAGTTGTACTGGAGCCGCTTCCATCTCCGCTGGAACCTTTACAATCACTTCTTGCTGGCCAATCTGATGATTCAAAATTATTTTTGAGCAAGATTCGTAAGTTTAATTCTTGCTTCCAAATGACGTCTTTTAGGGCAACAAAAATTTGTGATCTCACATCCGATGGTAATTACTTCGAATCTACATTTAAGATACAAGGTCAGGTTTATCATCAAATTGGGTCATTGATGCCGATGCCTGATACTGAACCGAAGTTTCTGCAAATCTATTTTATGGGAAATTGTGAAGAACGCGTATCAACCCGCTGTGTTCATAATTTTATTGAACGAGCAGATGAGAGAGCAATTGTGGAATCATTGGAAATTTTTTTAGAAAATCGAAACCAACTTATTCAGTTGTTCAAACGTGTATCGCCACAATTATTAAACGACAACTATCAAATTGTTATTAAGGCTGATAGAGTACCATCAGGAGAGCATGCTGGAAGGTTCAACGCGCCCACCGTAGACGAAGTAGCAGTTATTATGGCCGGTGATCCAGCTGACAGCCGAGCCATCAAAATTACACGTCGAGACAACACCATAAGCATAATTTCAGACACTCACCGTTCCTACGATGCACTACAATATCCGCTGATATTTTGGGCAGGACAGGATGAATATCACATTAATATTAAACAGCGTAATTCAACTACTGGTAAAATATCAAATTAAATATTTTTTGCCTATTTTTTATTTTTATTTTATGGTATTAAT